TTCATTCGCTCGGCGACACCGTTTAGTTGAGGCGTGTACGGAGGCGTAAACTTCTGCAGGATACCACGACGCTTGCAGAACTTAGCCATCTCGCCCGACGTGTACTCGCCACCGTTGTCACTCCGAAGCGTCTTGACGGCATTGCCGGGCTGAGTCTCCGCGAACGCGACAAACGCAGCGAACTTGTCAGCCACTTCCAACTTGTTCCGGAGCAAATGCACCACACGGAAGTGCGAGTAATCGTCGAAGAACGTGACAAAGTAGCGTTTGCCACTGAATGGCGACGTCTGCATGGGACCACACACATCACTGTGAAGAAACTCCAGCAGTTTCTTGGCGTGGTTGGGTGACTTGGACATGTAGCTCACTCGCATTTGCTTGCCGAGTGCACATCCGTCGCACAGCTCCCACTGCTTCATCGACGTCATGTCGATGCCTGCACCGTAGCCCTTCTTGATATCTAGATCACCATGGTCAACGTGACCAAGTCGAAGGTGCCAGAGGTACGACGTGGTGTCCCCGTTTGCGATCTTTCTAACTTGCCGCATTGGCCTCGTCGGGCACAGCCGGTGTCATGCACAGCTTGAACAGTCCTTTGCCTTCACGCGCGCCGAGCTTCCAGCTAAGACCCTTTGCTTCCGCGAACACCCATCCGTCTCGAAAGTCACAGAACCAACATCCTTGGTGAAGCGACCAATCGAGAAGAGGTTGCGCGACAGCTTGGGGATGTGCCACACGTTCGTGAGCACTCCTTTCTTGCCCCCCCGTGGAGTCTTCATGGACATCACGATGTCGCCGGTCCCCACCGCCTGAACCACACCATTGTTCGCGAGATGCATATCCACCGGAGACATCTTCATGTAGTTCTTCATGTACGCCTTCGAGTACGTCATGTGCTGCGTCGCACCCGAGTCGACCAGCCACTTGTCACTTGACTTGGTGGTCTTGCTCGCACCACCAACCAAGAAGAGAAACTCGCCCGATTCTTCTTCATCGTGCGCAATGTTTGCTCGTTGCGGCCTCTGTCGCTCCGCATTCTCACGAATTCTCATCGGACACTTGCAAATCAAATATCCTTGTTCGCCGCAGTAGTGACACGCGCTTGTCTTTGGCGCCTGTCGTCCCTTGCGCTTCCCGTTGTCACTCGTCATGAACGCTTGACCGTGCGCGGCGCCGTCCACACCGCCACCTTGATCCTTGCGCTTTATGTCCTCATGCAACAGCCGAGCCGTCACGAGTTCACACGCCAGCGAGTCGGCTCTCGACTCCAACACCGTGATGAGGAACTGGTACAACTCGCTCAAACTTGCCAGAAGCGTGATCACCAAGTCGCCCTCGCTGACCGGAGCGCCGACTGTATCGATCTGTTCCGTCAGCGTCTTGATGTGCTCCAGCACATCATCACGTTCTTCCATCATCATCGTGAAGAAATGTCGACGAAGGAAGAGCTTATTGGCCAAACTCTTATTTTCGAAGTGTCCTTTCAGCCTTGACCATACATCATGCGCACCATTCGCCGGCCGAACCAACGGCAGCTGCGAGTCCTCCATCGCGAGACAGATGATGGCCAGCGCCTTGCGCGACTTCCGCTTGAACGCCGCTTGGTCCAACGCGGTAGCGCAGTGTTCCATCTTCAGCTAGCCACTGACGAATTCCCGCAGGTCGCGCTCTTCCAGCACCGTCTGCATATTGAGCTTGCACGTGTGGAAGTTGGTTCCGTCGAGCTTGTTGATGTGGGCGGTCGTCGTCGAAGTAGCGTCCATGGCGTAGGCGTAGTCTTGGGCAGAGTCAGCGGGGCTTGGGCTCATAGCCCAAAGGTAGGTCGTTTGTGCACTAGATACTCTGGACTCGTCCAATCATCCTGTGCGTTCAATCATCCGTGGCGTAATCAACTTACCGTAATCATCGTGGGGTCGTGAGAAACCGGTTTTACTGGTATGCCGAAGCTGGACGAGACGCTTGCTTGACAACACTCCCACTCGACTCGACCGCGCTTGGTGGCTTGATCACCACCTTGGTGCGAAGACTTTCGAACTGCACCGCGGTGATCGGCTTGGTTATCAGGCGGAGAATAGTAAGGAACTGACGGCTCAAAGTATACCTGAGCATCCACAAGAGGAGCAGGCCGACCGCCGAGTAGTGTTGATCGTCGACAGCGACAACCACCGACCGTAGCGTATCGCTACGGTGTTTGCGCTTGAGTCTGTACACCAGCCAAAGCTTGTACACTTCTGCGAGCTGAGCAGTCTTAGCCGTCGGATTCAAGTCAGGGTGGAGACATATCAATTCGCTTGACTCGACGATCCAGTGGCGACGCTCGTAGAAGGCGAAGAGAAAATAAGTCACCCATTCATATGTAGTGACAGGCTGCCCCGCTGAGTCCAAAGGACTGTCGCCACGAAGCTTCACCCACATATCTCCAAGAGCCTGCATCAAGGTACGAGGTCGAGTCTGCGAAGCCAGGCACTGCCGAGCTTCCTTCAGTACCGACTGGAAAAAAGAAGGGGAGCTCGGGAAGCATCCAGCAAAGATGCCGACAGGGGTGACTCGGATCGAAGACAGTCATGAAGGCTCGAATTCCCCCAAGAGAGAACGATGTAGGCGGTACACGACTCTTACCACCGACGAGCTCCAACTAAACCCCGCCGGTCAATTGGTCCAATATCGTGTTCCAACAACGTGTGGGGCCGAAATGCATAAACGGTACTTCGCGGAGTTAAGTCATGTGAAGGGTAAAGCGAGAATTCATGGAAACCGCTTGTGAAGCTCGGATCCGCAACGTCGCCAATGGAAGAGTGAGAGCGCGTGGCAGAGTAGCTGAAGCTGTTCGTGTGAGATGCGACACATTCGAACTTGGCCTAGACGGAGCGGATGCCACAAGGGCCGCACTCGGCAAAGAAGCACTCAATAAAGGATGAGCCGGATTGACGTCGGGTGTTGGCACTGACTATCGATGCTTGTGGTGTCAGTGCTTCTTGTGGTGCTTCTTGTGCTTCTTGTGATGTTTTCTGGACTTCTTCGACTGCTGGCCGGGACGAGGCATGACGCTTGCGGTGCTGGTGTTTCCCCGAAGCCGACACTGGGGTTGAAGGTACAGCTCCGTCACCGGAACCAAGTGATGAATGTCGCGAAGTATGGCGAGCAATACGGCGATCACGCGGCGACGCAGATTCATCGATCATCTCATCGTCGGAGCCGACGATCTCCGCACGGGGGCTTTTCTTCGCGAATGAAGGACGGATATCCTCTTCCGCCAAGTCAGAACCTAAAGTGCCCATCGGTTCACGCAGCAAGGTGGCAAGAAACGTACTTAAGCGGGAAAACATAAAATATCTCTTAAAAAGTTCAAATCTCTAGCTAATACAATAATATTATGTTAACTTTTGAAAAACTGAGCTACTATTAACTCTTAATATAAAAATAGTAATAGTAATAGTACTCTTACTATCAAAAATATCATATGATATTTGGTTACCATTAGCCTCACTGCTCACTGTGTGTTTTAACTGGCCTGATGCAGGAGGAGCGCCGCAAGCGCCACGGTGAGTTGAATTCACATTCCCCACTGACGTGATGTCTCTATTGATACCCTCTATACCCCCCCCCTTTTTGCCTGGTGTGCCAAAGAGCTATCTTATGGCGTATATAATTTTCGAGACGTCAAACAGCACTTCTCCAGACTAGGCTGGACGTTTCGACCAGGGCCAGAACTGAGCTATGATCACTACTACATTAAGCCAGGCAAAAACCCGCGGAACAAGAAGCACATACAGGGCGAAGACTACTTCCTGGGCGAGGCGGAACTTGTGGCCTACGCGCGCAAGATGAAAATCTTCGGGGAGGAGACGGCGCCACTGCCTGTTGTCGACGGACTGGAGCGCACCAAGCGACGAGAACACAGTAACAACAGCAGCGCTAGAACGAGGCAACTGAAGAATAACTTGGACAGCGAATTTAGTGACAACGATAGCACGCAGAGACTTCGGCGAGAACACAAGCGACACCGACGACGGTCGGACGAGCACAAGGTCGGCAACTCGGTGCATAATCCCATTGCATTGTCCTCGGACTCGAGTGATGACGACTATACTAGAGCCGCTATCGATACTGCTAGTAGTGCCGAGGAGGACGAGAAGTGGAGCGAGGAAGCGTTTGATGTGGAAGAGGACCAGGAGAGCGAAAAGGACGCGTCGTCGTCAGCTTCCGAAGATTCCAATGAGGAAGGAGAGTTGGATGTTGGTACAAGCAGCCACAGACCAAGGAAAGCCCCTTCTGGCAAGTCTAAATCGGATGTAGATACAGAGCCACAAAAAATCAAGGATAACGCAAAAACCAAGGCGGAAATCAAACCTACACTTAAAGAGAAGTTCCAGCCCACAAGCGACGATGCTCCTGATGAAAGTGACACTGAAGAGTATGGTCGGAACCACACGAATCCGCGTCCGTTATTGACAACAGCTCATAGGAAGCGCAATGGAGCGATGCATACATTAAGGAAGCACCGCCAGAGTGATTCAATAGCTGCGTCTAGCAACGCAATAGGCTCAGACGAGCCTCGTGGTAAAAAGAGAGCTGTCACTGGCTCCAAGGATATTTTTCTTGCGACGATAACTGGGAAAAAATCGAAGTCTGCACCACGAAGCTTATTGCGCGAGACAGACAACCCTGCTGAGGGAGCGTGGGAGGATAACGATGACAATAGCTTTGACCTGGGAGTTGAAGAGTGTGGCGAGTCGCCTCCACGTCGACCTCCATCAAGGGCACACTCCCGATCTAGCAGCGTCAGGTCTTCCCCATCAACTAGTGTTGCGGCTGCAAGCCCATTTCCGCCAGACATGGTGGAGGAGCAAAAGGAAAAAACCATGACGGACAGCTTTGCACCAACCATCTTCCAATCCGTGCTCTCTCCTTCGACGAACGCACTGATGACTCCAACTTTAGCAACCGCTGAGCTTGCGAAGACCGCTACTTCGGACTCAAGTCGTTCAGCTCAAGTGTCTATGGAACTTACGCAAGTGGTGTTGCCTCCCGATCGCGACAACAAATACCACATTCGCGTTACCGTGTCTGCAGATAAGCCACCAGTTCATACGATTTGGATGGAGAATTTGTTGTCACACGAGCAGCGCGAATACAGCTTTGTCGATGTCACGAAGCTGCCTGGCGCGCAGAACGACATTCGCGTGCCCACTACCACTGTTCTGACAGCGCTGTTCCGATGTTTGAGCAGTCAGCCTGACGCAGAAGTGGTCGTAGGACCAGAACCTCGAGCTACGGCAGAATCAAAAACTGCCTTCGAGAAGGGGGAAGTACAACTGCTGACGTCTACTGCAGAGAAGAATGCTGGGGAAGCAAATGGTGGTGACAAATTGACGCTGGTCGTGGCGTATCCTGCACTGGATCTCTTTCGAGTCGACCATAACTTCCCTATGAAGCTTGTGTCGGAAAGGCAGCGGTTGCAACATCTTGCACAGGAACTAGAACGTCTGAAAGAGCAGCTTTCGCTCGTCCAGACTGATCGGGATAACCTGTGCAAGCAACTCCGGCAGCTAGAAGAGGAGAACGAGCGCACTCTGTCGCAACAGGTGGGAGCGCGACTGAGAACGGATCGGGAAGCTCAGGACTCACGACTGCAGCAGCGGCAAAGCAGCGAGGACGTGGAGCACCGGGTGACCAAACTTGTCGAAAAGAAAACACATGCTTTTATAGAGTCACAGGAGAAGGAGAACCGCCATCGAGAGCGTGCCAGAAAATGGGTGTTTGTGCAGTCAAGTTGGATGTCAGCTTTCCAGCCGTGCCAAGCACTGGTAACTGGCGCTTCTACCGACACGAGGACGTCTCTTCTCCGACCAGAAACAACCACCGCTACCTGTAGGTATGTCGTTGAGTGGAAGGAAGTCATTGACATTGCCGAGCCGCTCTTCCAGACGGCTGACACGTCAGAAAGCGGGTCGACACGGTCCATTTCCGTTGTCAAAGATGGACTGTATCAAGTGAATGTTAACGTAAGCCACGACAGTTTGGTTCAACTGCGACTCATGATAAACCCTGCAAAGTCTGACGAGGGCGCTGCATTCCAACGTGAAGCTCGCGAGATCGCGCCAACGAAAGTGTCACTGTACGAGAATAAGCGGCGCGTCTCGCGTGTGGATATGACGCTTGATCTGCATGCGTCGGACCAGCTCTCGCTAGAACTCCGGCTTTCAGACTCGGCGGCACTACCATCGGTACAAGAGGAGTGGCTACGGGCCCCCATGCCCACGCATAATCGGCTATTGGTCGTAGCACTTTAGTAGAAATGAATTGTTACTGCACGTACTATTGTAAGTACACTAGCCGGTAGTTTAGGTACTTGCTTTGCCCGCTACGCTTCGGCGGGATTACTATTGAAAAAACCGCTGAAACCATGTGTATCAGATATGATAGGTGTAGAGTTTCAGCCAATCAGAGACAGGCTCAGTTCAACATAGATTCAGTATGTAATACAAAAAGGCAGATGTAGGGCGGCCGTGGAACCTTCTAGAAGGTTCTAGAAGGTTCCATCCGCCTGAACTGCGGGGGCGGCACTTCTCGTTTCGCGCGCCCTCCCCCAAGCTAGCGTTTCCTGAAATACTGGTAGCACTTGTTGGTCCCAGTGTCCAGACAGTGGGTCGAGAAACATCGACTCAAGGCCACGAACTTCATTGGTAAGAACATTCGTGTGAAACTTGGAGACAACCAGATTGTCGAGACGGAACTGGAGGTACTTCCCCTCGAAATCCTGGTGTCTGGGTTGGGCGAGCATACAAGTGTATCGCTGTCGTCTACACGAATTCGACTGCATCCTTGGAATCCCATTCTTCGAGGATATGCAGCCGCAGATCGACTGGAGAGGTCGATGTATCGAAGGAACGCAAGTGAAGACTCTGCATTGGAAGCGAACAGGGGAAACCAGTGGACCGATCGAGGAAGGCGGACCGGTGATTGCCTCCGGGCTTCGGAGATCTGTCGAGGCGAAAGGCCTATCGGCGAAAAGACCCGATTCCTGTCGAGGTGCCGCGCTGGAAACGGATGTGAAGTCCGCGGCTGAAACTGTTTGCGACGCAACGCAGAAAGAGAGCCCAAGAGTTGTTTGCGAAGCCGGCAAGGGTTCGGCGGTGAAGGACAACTTGGAATTATCGAAACGCGGCGGTACTGTACGAGAGGCTGGAGATAGCAGCAGTACTGGGGGCAGAGGCACTGTCGTGGAAAATATGTTCACGATGGGTGTCGTTGACGTGGCTGGTGTCCAGACGAAGTTCATCACTCGCAAGAAACTACGAAAGTTCCTGAGAATCAAGACCAAGTCGATCGATGAACCTGACTTTATGTTGGTTCTGACGAACGTGACGATCAAGCAAGTTGCTCGCTCACTGCAACGGCAAGATCAACCTGACAACGTCGGAAGTGCGAAAGCACAACGGTATCTGGATACGGACTGGGATAGCTTCAAGGGGAATCCCGCGTACCAGTTACTCATGGAGTACATGGACAATGTGTTCCGTCCTGAGCTCCCAGAAGGTTTACCCGAGAAACGCGAGATTGAGCATAGGATTGACGTGGAGGATCCGAATCTTGCAATGTATCGGCAACAATGGCGTCAATCGCCAGAGCAGCAACGCGAGATTGTGCGTTGGATGGTAGACATGGTGAAGAAGAAGCTCATCCGTCCAAGCATCAGTCCACATGCGGCTCCATCCTTCTGTGTACGAAAACCAGTTGGCTGGAGGATTGTACACGACTACCGGTACTTGAACTCCAACACTGTACGTCAAAGTATCCCAATGACGAGGAAGGAGGACATTCTTGACGCGATGTCCGGAGCGTACTGGTTTTCCACTATGGATTTGATGTCCGCGTACTATCAAGTACGTATGCGTGAAGAGGATATCAAGTTCACAGCATTTCAAGCGCCAAATGGACTCTGGGAGTATCTTGTTCTGCCCATGGGAGTCTGTAATGCGCCAGCGACGATGCATCGTTTAACGTCAAAGCTGTTCCGAGGTTTGGAAAACACCAAGTCGTTTTATGATGACATCTACGTTTTAACGAAGTCTCAGAGATCGACGACCACTTGAAGGCGTTGCGCAAGACATTAAATATCCTGCGTGACAACAAGCTGTACGTCAAGCTTGCCAAGTGTGTCTTCTGTGCCGACAAGATTCCGTGTCTCGGGGACTTCGTAGGACGCAACGGTGTACGGATGGATCCGGACAAGGTACAAACCATCAAGGACTGGCCAGTACCACGAACACAAGAGAAACTTCACAGCTTCCTTGGGTTGACTGGTTACGTCCAACGATTTTGTCCAGACTACGCAGCATTTACTGCAACAATGTTCACTCTCTTGAAGAAGAAGAACAAGAGGAACGCGAAGATCCAATTCAATGATGAGCAGTTGAAGAATTTCAAGGAGCTGAAGAGGCGACTGTGTAATCCTCCAGTGTTGCACCTCCCTAACTTCAGCCAGTCCATGCATCTGCGCACTGATGCGAGCAAATTCGCTGTTGGTGAAGTATTATTCCAAGTCGTGGACGGAGTTGAGCGATCCATTGCGTATACCAGTCGAAAGATGAAATCCGCGGAGCTCAACTATCCAACACAGCAGCAGCAGCAGACGCAGGAGGCACAGCCATCCCCCAGGACGGACCTATCCAAGCCCCAAGTAAACAGGCCCGCACAAGGCAAGCGTGGGTAAACACGGGGTCGGACTAATCCGTCAGGGAACGGCACCTCTGGCCTTCAGCGCAATTTCAGGAATGACAAGACTGAGGGGACGCGCACGCCAGAGGGAGGGTGAGGGTATCAGATATGATAGGTGTAGAGTTTCAGCCAATCAGAGACAGGCTCAGTTTAACATAGATTCAGTATGTAATACAAAAAGGCAGATGTAGGGCGGCCGTGGAACCTTCTAGAAGGTTCTAGAAGGTTCCATCCGCCTGAACTGCAGGGGCGACACTTCTCGTTTCGCGCGCCCTCCCCCAAGCTAGCGTTTCCTGAAATACCATGTGTACCTTAATTGATCTTTTTAATTTCATTAATTTGGGTCAGCATCATGCTTACCTGATTTAAAAAATAATGATCTTGAATCGAGATTCTTGATCCAATCTCTTTTTTTATTGCTGGCTATCACTGTATCTTCATCCTCCATCCAAAACCACCAGCACTTCAAATAGCATTTATACAAACGCTACACAATACGTTTAGTTTAGCGTCGTGCTCGATATCACGGGCCGTTCCTGAGCCACAATTAAACTTAACTCACCCGATAGTAATGATTTGTCCAGCTTGCACTACTTACCCGCTTAAACTGCCTATTTCAGTTTGTAAGTAACTAAATATTGTTCACTTCTCATATCAAACTCGATGAAAGCTAAAAAAATATTCAAATTATACTATGTTTAATGTATGTAGCGTTAATTTTGTGCTGATTCAAAATTAGCACTCGAATCTGTGCCAGTTAAGATTGAAACATTTGAATGTCGCAAGACGTTGCTGCTGTTGCTGTTGACGGTAGTGTTTTCTTTTTGATATGTAACGATGATTCCAGGATTATTGGACGTCATTTAGGCTCCAAGTTTATTAACGTTTCTATATGGGGTCTACTTAACCAGCTATAATTCCCACCTCTCGTGTTTCGTTGTTGTCTTGCCGCTCCATTTAATATCATATTCTAAGCCCCTGTCGACGACACGTCCGCCAGTTAAGTAGTATCGGATTTTGCTGTCTAAACAACTTTTAGAAAACAATGGTTTACAGCAGTAACACATATGAGTTCATTTTGTTCAATCTAAAACTACTATCGTTATGGATCAAATGACAGCGTTTATTAGCAGCGGCCAGCTTCTGTTGCTCAGTCAGCTACCTCACTCTCAGATAGTTTATTAATGTTTCTACAACAAAGCAGTTATTAAAGTCATTGTAATTTGCAGAAACTATTAAGCACAGAGTATTACGTATATTCCTCGAAAACACGCATTCCTACGTGTACGCTAAAGCACCTTGCAGCTTATAATAGGAAGCGTCTTTAGGTGCTATTTCATTTGAGAATAAGTAGCTCTGCCTGTTTAACACTCAAATATTGAAACCAACATGCATTATTAGAATAGTAAATATTGTGGCTTTCAGTCGGATTGTCCAAATCGGACTCTTACACTGAGAGTAGCAACGGCAACATGCAGTAGGTGTAGGTGTGAGACGTCAGGTTAGCTGAAGTCTATCAACGATTAAGGCAACACCATTCTTGGTCGTCCAATCAGAACTCTCCTTCTTTAGCTCAAACAACGCTATTAAACTCGCATCCTCAGTTTGCCACAAATTTTCTGGCCATTCGGAGATTAGCAGCGTACGCGATGACCTACTCTGGCGACTTGCGGTGGAGAGCGGTAGTCCTGGTCTATGTCTACGGCATGGATGCCGCTATGGTTGGCACAATATTCGGAAGCCACGGACGTAGTGTCCGTCGCTGGATTACGAAGTTCGACAAGACAGGATCACCGTGTCGGAAGGCACCGTCACGAGAGCGCAGCAGCAAGTGGCCACGTGAGGTCATACAATTCGTGGAGAAATATGTAGAAATACATCCGTGCTTCTACATTGAAGAGCTTCAAGACGAGCTTCGCCGCAAATTCGAGCACGTGACGAACACGTCAACTGCTTCGATATGCCGCGCGTTACGGTTCGACCTTAATCTGACAAGGAAAAGATTAACTAAGCGTGCAAGAGAGTCAGCTCCGCGAGAGCGCCGTGAGTATGCCGGTCGGTTGCTGCCGTTTTACAGTTGCCCCGAGCAGCTCGTGTTTGCTGACGAGACATCCAAAGACGGAAGTTGCGATAGCAGGACGACTCGTTGTTTGATATCTATTGTTTTTTTTAACATATTTTTTTAATGTTGTACAGGAGTGTTTTAAGAAAGCACGCGTGGTCAAAACGAGGCACGCCAGCCGTTGTCAGTTTGCCTTCGTCACGTGGTCAGCGGGTCTCCGTGCTGGCAGCAATGGACGTGAGCGGGTTTTTCTCATGGGGTCACACATTTGACACATTTACTAGGAAAGAGTTTCATCAGGTATTTGCAACGAAACTTGCACTTTACCTGAATCCGTGGCCGCTTCCACGGTCAATTGTGATACTTGATAATGCCAAGATCCATATGTACGCGGAGCTACAAGACTTGGTACACTCGACCGGAGCTCAGCTATTCTTTTTACCACCATACTCCCCAGATTTGAACCCAATTGAAATGGGATTTTCGCTTTTACAACGCTGGATTATTAAG